ACATGCCTGGTGTGTCCCTACCTGCGTGCCTCTTTAGCACGCTCAGTCCCTCCTTCATCCTGCCCAGTTCATCTTTTGCAGCCCTGCTCAGAAGTGCTCTCTTCTGTGAAACCGTCCCTGATATACACTAGCTAGAAATGATTTTCTTTCCTTCTGGTGAGAGAAAGCATCTTATTTCCACCTTCCTATGGCATGTAATAATACATTGTCTTGAATTACAGCTATTTGGGTGTTTGTGTATTCTTCCTGTCTTCCTCATTAGAATATCATCTTCTCATGGACGGTATCCTGTTTTCCTTTACATCCTCCCCAATTGGGCTAAATAAACAACTTTGGAATTAGTCGGAGAGGTCACTTTGTTAGGAGGTTGGGATTTCCTTTGCCCCGACATCTACCCGCTAAAAGAAGTCAGAGTTTTATAATCCTAGAAAATCCAAAAGGAGTAGGGGCTCTTAGGGAAGAAACATTACCTTCCATGTTCCTTTGTCTTGTCTCAGACGTACGTTGTTCAGGGATATGTCATGGATTGCCTTCCACCCAGTCAGCCTGTGTTCTGCCATTGTGCATGAATAATTTGCTTGGGTGTATTGGTGCCTGATTTTTCTGACTCATTCATTCTCCTCCTTGGGCAATAAAATGATGCCCTGATGGCCTGGACATCTCTGCTTTTGCTGTGAGATTTTTGTATGGTTCCTATGAAACGACTGCTTCTTCCACCTCCCTTTCAGCCAGCAGCTGCCACAGGGAACTCTGTGGCTCACACAGCAGCAGTCGAAAGATGCTCTCACTGCCCACTTCCTGTAGACAAGGAGGTTTTGGTGGGCTGCTCAGGAACAGTGCCAGCTCTGTGTCTGACTGGTGACTGACTCATGAGAAAAGCAGCCTCATGTCTGAAAGATAAGAGCCAACAAATCGCCTCCAGGTGGTGTTAGTTTGGAGGTGACTGACCATTCATTTCCTCTCTCTGGGAGGAGCCGGTGGGGACGGAATCAGTGAATAAGTGGTCTTGCCTGCATTTTTCTCCGGCTATTAGTGAAGCAGCTGAGCAAATGGTTGGTTCTCTCTGCTGGAGTGGCGAGTTGGACCCCAGTGCCTTCTGGATGCCTTCTGCGGCTGTCAGGGTAGCAGACTTATGTGTCATCCATCCTGTGTCTTCCCTTCATTACTCTTCTCATTCTCTTGCTAGGAGGTTGGCTGTGTGCACCAGGCGAACCCTGCTTGTTCCATTGCTGCCAGGTTTCTCTGTGACCCGGCAAACCTCGTCCCTACTGATTTGGCGTCCTCCAGATCTCTCCGTGACCCAGGCGTTGATCAGAAGCAGTGGTTCTGAACCACTGTCCCTTGGCTGGGCTCGGTGGGTCCGGGCAGGTGGGCCTGCCTCTCCTGCCGTCCTCTTCCCTCTCCCCCCTCCTGCCTCGCTCCCATTTCCTGCAGGAGGACGCTCTGCCATCCTGGAGCCGTCAAGCACAGCTTTGCTTTGGCAGCACCGTCGCGCACACACTGGTGGGAGAGGGGACGTGTTTATCACTTTTCCTGGAGATTATCTGTTTAAGCACTTCTCTGACAGTTACAATAACAAGGGCAGTGTGTTGTGTTTCCCAGCAGAAGGACACTTGCTGTTGAAAGATGTATAGCACTAATTAGAAATACATAACATCCGGCCACATGGCAGCCTTCTCCCGGCCGCTCCATTTCCTGATTTCATACAACTTTGACGACAGTTGGTTTATGTTTTCCATGAATATGTTCTCAGAAAAATGAGAAGGTCTCCCTGTTACATAGGAGCGGGAAGAGTGTTTCTGCTTGAGCAGGTATTTGGCCAGAGGAATAGTGGGAGATGTGGTCACCTGCCCATCTGAGAGCATGTGGGAAGGGGCAGAACCAAGTTCAGACTTCAGGTGACTTTCTTGGTAAGAAATATTTCCATCTGACTTCCTTAGCCAGAACCATCCCCCTACACCCTTGAGCAAGCCTGCTTTTGGAAAGAAGGGAAAAGGCTGTTTCACAATGTTAATGAGTTCCTCAGTTCATGTCAGGCTCCAGCTACCTGACACAAAGCCAGAGGAACCCAGGCAAATACCAAGGCGAACAATGCTTTTTCCTTCCCCACCCCACATCACGTGTTGGCCTGGCCCAGCCCGCTCTAGGGATATATACGGGCATCTGTAAGACCGGGACCAGTTTCCTAACCTTAGAGTGGGCGGACCTGGGAATCTGGATGCTGTTTTACTACCCACTTGCATAAGCGTGGGTACGTCTCAAGGGCTGGCATCTTACAGCTTTTAGTCCACAGAAGCCTAAGTGAAGCACAGAGCATCTCCTGAAGATACCATAGCACTTAATACATTTCTCCCTGGAGGCACTGGGTCTGAGTTGCCATGGTTACTGGGGGTAAACACACCGTTTGCAAGGTCCTAAGACTGCAGGGATCCTGTCTTATTTGTAGCCTTGTTCTTCAGCACAGGGTCGAGGACACTGTAGATGCTCAGTGCCTGTGGTACCACTGAGCCTTGGAGGAGGGCAGGCCTTCCAGAAAGTGCTCTGTACGAAGAGTTGACGGAGACCCAGGCGTTCTGACCCCCAGATAGCTGTGATATCACCACCTGCTTGATCAGAGCAGAACAGCTTACTGATTTGTACCTCCCCATCAGTCAAACCAGAACACAGCAGGGAGTGCTGTCAGGCCCTTCCTGGGGAGATGGAGGGGTGGGGGTGGGTGGGTGAAGGGTTGAGGTGACATAACGATGGCCAAGAGCAGAGCAGTCATGAAGCTACCTTTTAGCTGCTGCCCTGAGAGGTAGTTGAGCCCTTCCAGACACAGCAGAGAGGCTCCAGTTGTCACTTCCCCACCTGGTTCCCAGACCTTATTGCAAGAAGCTTTAAAAAGGAGCCAGCCTGGACTCCCCAGAGGCCTCAGTGTCATTGTTCTTAGCAGTTAGTTCTCCCCCTTGAGCCCTAGCCCTGTGCACTCTGAGAAGGAGTCTAACCTGAGGTTGATGTTCATCATAAAAATAGAAATGGTCTTGGTGAAAGTCATCTCCCTTTGCCCCATCTTATCCTTATCGAGGCTGATGAGCGTGTCTTCTTGTCGTCTTGGGCTTCTGCCAGTCCTTGGAGCTAAGATACCCCCCTCCATCCCTTCTGAGGGCCTTCTATGTGCAGGTGACTTCTGCCTAAGATGCCCAGTTGATGAGGGGACACTAATGTGTACTCAGTGTGTCAACTACCAGGATGTGGCCTCTACTCCTCCTCTCCTAGTTCCCTCTGTTATGGACTTATTCTCCCATTCTGGGATTTGTTGCTAATTAGAGGCAGGCTGCTGGCAATGCTTGGCAGGGGCCTGGGCTGAGCTGGGGTGGTACAGACAGTCCTGTTGCCTATAGTAAGGGTGGAGGAGAGGAGTTGGCAACTTTTCCTTGGGATGGCTTACACATCTTCCCCTTCCCTACTTTCCATCCTCCCTGCGCTTTGTTCTTAGATGCTTGTTTTTTGTCTCTCTAGCACAGGGTTAGGGCCTTACCGGAAGAAGAATGAGACTGGTGATCTATTCTAATCACATGGCTTGTTACCACTTCCTTACTGCCTGCCGCAGTTGACCTGGAAAGTTAGAGGGTGACATTTGGGACCACTGGGCATCTGGAAAGATGGTAGGAAAGCCACTATAGAAGAGTTGCTACACTGATGCTATTCATATGTTGGGACCTTCTGAACAGCAGCCCTTTCCTTCTCACCCCCAGGGCTTTCTGAAGTGGTTTGGGGCTGGCTTTGCATACTCCAGTCATGTTTGCTCCTGTGGCCAAGACGGTTAGGAATAACTGTGGTTGTGTAGCATCTCCTGGAGTAAAGACTTCAATTAGGCCCCACTGGAAAGATGAGTATCAATGAGGGGAGAGGCAGGAGGGCTCCCCCTTGGCTACTGAGGTTAAAATGCAAGCAGGGACAGAGATCAAACATGTGGCTAATTATCCGTTTAACACCTGGAGATTCTGGGAGTTCTCCTGTATTCAGACAGAAGGAATTAACAGATCAGCTGCTGCCAAAGCAAGCGAGCCTGGCCCCCGATTCCGTCTCCTGTGCGTATAGGGTGTCTCCTGCGCTGAGGCTGCAGGCTGGACTGCTGCCTTCTGTTTGTCGCCTGTTTCTCTCAAGTCTGGATGATGTGCCTGTCAGGGAGGGCCACGGACAAGGGGCAGGTACAGGCAGTGGTTTGAAGGTGTGTATGTAGCTCCCGCTAAAGAATAGCCCTGGCTACCACCAAGGTGGCTCCTTTCCCTGACCTGCAGCCAGAGGGAAGTTGGGCAGGCTGAGAGAGTCAGGGGGTAGGGTGCTAGTACTGGAAACCAGATTTATTTCTTAGCCCTAGCGGAGAGAACTTGTGAAAGTTAAAGCTAACACTGATTAAGTGCTTATTATGTGCCATGCACTGTCCTATATAAAGTTAACTCATGCGGTGAAAAGAGGTTATTTGTTTCATGTGTGTTCTCTGAGGAGGAGGAACAGAGAGAAGGTAAGGATGGAACCAAAGCTTGGTGATTCAAGAAGATAACTTTTAAATGTGTATTTTTCTGATCTTAATTGGTGATTGTATTCCCGCTGTGTATACATTAGAGAGACTGAGTTAATTAAATATGACTTCTCGTTGCTGTTGCTTCACATCCTCAGCAGGCAGCTAAAGGCAGAGAGCATGCAGGTGTGGCTCAGGCTGCTCACCTTGGGGTAGCTGATCCTGGGGAAGTGATGTGATACAGAATTTACACAAGTGAGCCTTATAATACCTTATTGAGTGCTTACCCACAGGCCGGTCATCATGGTAAGTGCTTCACGTGCATTACTTTATTTAGCCTTTCGACTACCCTTTGAGAGAGGGAATATTACAACACCAGTCTTAGATGAAGGGCAAGGAGCTCGGTGATACAAGCAAGGACTTGCACCTAGTAAGGTAGGGAAGAGGAGCCCTTGGCCCCCAGGATACTGATGGACTTCCCTTTGCTCCTGCTCAGACTGCTTCTCGGAGGAGTGTCGCTCTGTGATCCAGGAGCAAGCCGCAGCCCTGGGCCTGGCCATGTTTTCTCTCCTGGTGCAGCGCTGCACCGACTTACTGAAGGAATCAGCCAAAGGTAAGCAGATGAGGGGCCCTGACTGGTGGACGTCCCAGCTCCTGGGTCCTGCCCAGACAAGCTCAAAATGCCACACTGCTTTCTCTGCGTCTTCTCCCTCTACTGCAGGCTTCCTTTTGCCCACCTAACTAGTCCCATTTCCTCTATGGCTCTCTTTCCTCCTTGTAGAAAGGAGAGGAGCCCTCTTTCCTCCTCTCTCTCTTTTCACCTTTAATAGTTAGAATTTTCAATGTACCTCTGAACTACTGCATGTTCCTGCAACTTAAAAAAAAAAAAGAAAGAAAAATGAGTTTCCCTTGGTGTTCATAATCCATGTTTTGGTTTTCCCCTCTATCTGTATGTCCCTGTTTGTCAGATACCTGGTGGGGGCTATAACCACTGTGGACCAGCCATCTCGGTAGACTCACTGGACCAGAGCAGGGGTTCTTTTAGCCCTTTGAGCAGTGTCCCCTTATCCGTTAAGGCTGCCCTTAGAATTCCAAGCCTGATTGCTGAGCCGTGTAAGGTAGGTCTGAAGGGCGTACCTTTCTTTCAGCTTCTGGATTAGTTTTGATGAGTGGTGAGGCCCGTCTGTTGTTCCCCTGCCACATCAGCTTTTTTTTTTTTAATTTTTAAATTTAATCTAATTAATTTTTTTATACAGCAGGTTCTTATTAGTTATCCATTTTATACACATCAGTGTATACATGTCAATCCCAATCTCCCAATTCATCCCACCACCACCACCACCCCCACCTCCACTTTCCGCCTTGGTGTCCATATGTTTGTTCTGTACCTCTGTGTGTCTATTTCTGCCCTGCAAACTGGTTCATCTGTACCATTTTTCTAGGTTCCACATATATGCGTTAATACACGATATTTGTTTTTCTCTTTCTGACTTACTTCACTCTGTATGACAGCCTCTACATCCATCCAGGTCTCTACAAATGACCCAATTTCGTTCCTTTTTATGGCTCAGTAATATTCCATTGTATATATGTACCACATCTTCTTTATCCATTCGTCTGTCGATGGGCATTTAGATTGCTTCCATGTCCTGGCTATTGTCAATAGTGCTGCAATGAACACTGGGGTGCATGTGTCTCTTTTTTTTATATGTATAAATTATTTATTTTATTTTTGGCTTTTGGCTGTGTTGCATCTTCGTTGCTGTGCACAGGCTTTCTCTAGTTGCGCTGAGCGGGGGCTACCCTTTGTTGTGGTGCGCCGACTCCTCGTTGTGGCTTCTCTTGTTGCGGAGCATGGGCTCTAGGCGCGCAGGCTTCAGTAGTTGTGGCACGTGGGCTCTAGAGCTCAGGCTCAGTAGTTGTGGTGCACAGGCTTAGTTGCTCCGCAGCATGTGGGATCTTCCCGGGCCGGGGCTCGAACCCGTGTCCCTTGCATTGACAGGCAGATTCTTAACCACTGCACCACCAGGGAAGCCCGCATGTGTCTTTTTGAATTATGGTTTTCTCTGGGAATATGCCCAGTAGTGGGATTGCTGGGTCATATGGTAATTCTATTTTTAGTTCTTTTTTTTTTTTTCTTTTTTTGCGGTACGCGGGCCTCTCACCGCTGCGGCCTCTCCCGTTGCAGAGCACAAGCTCCGGATGCGCAGGCTCAGCGGCCATGGCTCACGGGCCCAGCCGCTCCGCGGCATGTGGGATCTTCCCGGACCGGGGCATGAACCTGCGTCCCCTGCATCGGCAGGCGGACTCTCAACCACCGCGCCACCAGGGAAGCCCTATTTTTAGTTTTTTAAGGAACCTCCATACTGTTCTCCATAGTGGCTGTATCAATTTACATTCCCACCAGCAATGCAAGAGGGTTCCCTTTTCTCCACACTCTCTCCAGCATTTGTTGTTTGTAGATTTTATGATGATGCCCATTCTAACTGGTGTGAGGTGATACCTCATTGTAGTTTTGATTTGCATTTCTGTAATAATTAGTGATGTTGAGCAGCTTTTCATGTGCTTCTTGGCCATCTGTATGTCTTCTTTGGAGAAATGTCTACTTAGGTCTTCTGCCCATTTTTTGATTGGGTTGTTTGTTTTTTTAATATTGAGCTGCATGAGCTGTTTATATATTTTGGAGATTAATCCTTTGTCCGTTGATTCGTTTGCAAATATTTTCTCCCATACTGAGTGTTGTCTTTTTGTCTTGTTTGTAGTTTCCTTTGCTTTGCAAAAGCTTTTAAGTTTCATTAGGTCCCATTTGTTTATTTTTGTTTTTATTTCCATTACTCTAGGAGGTGGATCAAAAAAGATCTTGCTGTGATTTATGTCCAAGAGTGTTCTTCCTGTGTTTTCCTCTAAGAAGAGTTTTATAGTGTCCGGTCTTACATTTAGGTCTCTAATCCATTTTGAGTTTATTTTTGTGTATGGTGTTAGGGAGTGTTCTAATTTCATTCTTTTACATGGAGCTGTCCAGTTTTCCCAGCACCACTTATTGAAGAAACGGTCTTTTCTCCACTGTATATCCTTGTCTCCTTTGTCATAGATTAGTTGACCATAGGTGCTAGTTGACCATAGGTGGGTTTATCTCTGGGCTTTCTATCCTGTTCCATTGATCTATATTTCTGTTTTTGTGCCAGTACCATATTGTCTTGATTACTGTAGCTTTGTAGTATAGTCTGGAGTCAGGCAGTCTGATTCCTCCAGGTCCGTTTTTTTCCCTGAAGACTGCTTTGGCTATTTGGGGTCTTTTGTGTCTCCATACAAATTTTAAGATTTCTTGTTCTAGTTCTGTAAAAAATGCCACTGGTAGTGTGATAGGGATTGCATTGAATCTGTAGATTGCTTTGGGTAGCATAGTCATTTTCACAATATTGATTCTTAAAATCCAAGAACATGGTATATCTCTCCATTTGTTTGTATCATCTTTGATTTCTTTCATCAGTGTCTTATAGTTTTCTGAGTACAGGTCTTTTACCTCCTCAGGTAGGTTTATTCCTAGGTATTTTATTCTTTTTATTGCAATGGTGAATGGGATTGTTTCCTTAATTTCTCTTTCTGATCTTTCATTGTTGGTGTATAGGAATGCAAGAGATTTCTGTGCATTAATTTTATATCCTGCAACCTTACCAAATTCATTGATTAGCTCTAGTAGTTTTCTGGTGGCATCTTTAGGATTTTCTATGTATAGTATCATGTCATCTGCAAACAGTGACAGTTTCACTACTCTTTTCCAATTTGTATTCCTTTTATTTCTTTTTCCTCTCTGATTGCTGTGGCTAGGACTTCCAAAACTATGTTGAATAAGAGTGGTGAGAGTGGACATCCTTGTCTTGTTCCTGATCTTAGAGGAAATGCTTTCAGTTTTTCACCACAGAGGATGATGTTTGCTGTGGGTTTGTCGTATATGGCCTTTATTATGTTGAGGTAGGTTCCCTCTGTGCCCACCTTCTGGAGAGTTTTTATCATAAATGGGTATTGAATTTTGTCAAAAGCTTTTTCTACATCTATTGAGATGACCATATGGTTTTTATTCTTCAATTTGTTAATATGGTGTATCACACTGATTGTTTTGCATATATTGAAGAATCCTTGCATCCCTGAGATAAATCCCACTTGATCATGGTGTATGATCCTTTGAATGTGTTGTTGGATTCTGTTTGCTAGTATTTTGTTGAGGATTTCTGCACCTATATTCATCAGTGATCTGTAATTTCTATTTTTATAGTATCTTTGTCTGGTTTTGGTATCAGGGTGATGGTGGCCTCGTAGAATGAGTTTGGGAGTGTTCCTTGCTCTGCAATTTTTTGGAAGAGTTTGAGAAATATCTGTGTTAGCTCTTCTCTAAATGTTTGATGGAATTCACCTGTGAAGCCATCTAGTCCTGGACTTTTGTTTGTTGGAAGATTTTTAATCACAGTTTCAATTTCATTACTTGTGATTGGTCTGTTCATATTTTCTATTTCTTCCTGGTTCAGTCTTGGAACTTTATACCTTTCTAAGAATTTGTCCATTTCTTCCAGGTTGTCCATTTCACTGGCATAGCATTGCTTGTAGTAGTCTCTTATGATGCTTTGTATTTCTGTGGTGTCTGTTGTAACTTCTCCTTTTTCATTTCTAGTTTTATTGATTTGAGTCCTCTCCCTCTTTTTCTTGATGAGTGTGGCTGAAGGTTTGTCAATTTTGTTTATCTTCTCAAAGTACCAGCTTTTAGTTTTATTGATGTCTGCTATTGTTTTCTTTGTTTCTATTTCATTTATCTCTGTTCTGATCTTTATGATTTCTTTCCTTCTACTAACTTCGGGTTTTGTTTGTTCTTCTTTCTCCAGTTCCTTTAGATGTAAGGTTAGATGGTTCATTTGAGATTTTTCTTGTTTCTTGAGGTAGGCTTGTATTGGTATAAACTTCCCTCTTAGAACTGCTTTTGCTACATCCCATAGGTTTTGGATTGTCATGTTTTTGTTGTAATTTCTCTCTAGGTATTTTTTGATTTCCTCTGATTTTTTCAGTGATCTCTTGGTTATTTAGTAACGTATTGTTTAGCCTCAATGTGTTTGTGTTTTTTATGTTTTTTTCCCTGTAATTGATTTTTAACCTGATAGCATTGTGGTCGGAAAAGATACTTGATACGATTTCAGTTTTCTTAAATTTACCGAGGCTTGATTTATGACCCAAGATGTGATCTATCCTGGAGAATGTTCTGTGTGCACTAGAGAAGAAAGTGTAATCTGCTGTTTTTGGATGGAATGTCCTATAAATATCTATTAAATCTATCTAGTTTATTGTGTCATTTAAAACTTGTGTTCCCTTATTAATTTTCTGTCTAGATGATCTGTCCATTGGTGTAAGTGAGGTGTTAAAGTCTCCCACTATTATTGTGTTAGTGTTGATTTCCTCTTTTATAGCTGTTAGCAGCTGCCTTATGTATTGAGGTGCTCCTATGTTAGGTGCATGTATTTTTATAATTGTTATATCTTCTTCTTGGATTGATCCCTTGATCATTATGTAGTGTCCTTCTTGTCTCTTGTAACATTCTTTATTTTAAAGTCTATTTTATCTGATACGAGTCTTGCTACTTCAGCTTCCTTTTGATTTCCATTTGCACGGAATATCTTTTTCCATCCCCTCACTTCCAGTCTGTACATGTCCCTAGGTGTGAAGTGGGCCTCTTGTAGACAGCATATATATGGGTCTTGTTTTTGTGTCCATTCAGCGAGCCTGTGTCTTTCGGTTGGAGCATTTAATCCATTCACGTTTGAGGTAATTATCAATATGTATGTTCCTATTACCATTTTCTTCATTGTTATGCATTTGTTTTTGTTGGTCCTTTCCTTCTCTTGTGTTTCCCACTTAGAGAAGTTCCTTTAGCATTTGTTGTAGAGCTGGTTTGGTGGTGCTGAATTCTCGTAGCTTTTGCTTGTCTGTAAAGCTTTTGATTTCTCCATTGAATCTGAATGAGATCCTTGCCAGGTAGAGTAATCTTGGTTGTAGGTTCTTCCCTTTCATCACTTTAAGTATATCATGCCACTCCCTTCTGGCTTGTAGAGTTTCTGCTGAGAAATCAGCTGTTAACCTTATGGGAGTTCCCTTGTGTGTTATTTGTCGTTTTTCCCTTGTTGCTTTCAATAATTTTTCTTTGTCTTTATTTTTTGTCAATTTGATTACTATGTGTCTCGGCGTGTTTCTCCTTGGGTTTATCCTGCCTGGTACTCTGCGCTTCCTGGACTTGGGTGGCTATTTCCTTTCCCATGTTAGCGAAGTTTTCGACTATAATCTCTTCAAATATTTTCTTGGGTCCTTTCTCTCCCTCTTCTCCTTCTGGGACCCCTATAATGTGAATGTTGTTGCATTTAATGTTGTCCCAGAGGTCTCTTAGGCTGTCTTCATTTCTTTTCATTCTTTTTTCTTTATTCTGTTCTGCAGCAGTGAATTCCACCATTCTGTCTTCCAGGTCACTTATCCGTTCTTCTGCCTCAGTTATTCTGCTATTGATGCCTTCTGGTGTATTTTTCATTTCAGTTATTGTATTGTTCATCTCTGTTTGTTTGTTCTTTAATTCTTCTAGGTCTTCATTTCTTGCATCTTCTTGATCTTTGCCTCCATTCTTTTTCTGAGGTCCTGGATCATCTTCACTGTCATTATTCTTTTTCTGGAAGGTTGCCTATCTCCACTTCATGTAGTTGTTTTTCTGGGGTTTTATCTTGTTCCTTCATCTGGTACATAGCCCTCTGCCTTTTCATCTTGTCTATCTTTCTGTGAATGTGGTTTTTGTTCCACAGGCTGCAGGATTGTAGTTCTTGCTTCTGCTGTCTGCCCTCTGTTGGATGAGGCTATCTAAGAGGCTTGTGCAAGCTTCCTGATGGGGGGCACTGGTGGTGGGTAGAGCTGTCTGTTGCTCTGGTGGGCAGAGCTCAGTAAAACTTTAATCCGCTTGTCTGCTGATGGGTGGGGCTGGGTTCCCTCCCTGTTGGTTGTTTGGCCTGAGGCTACCCAGCACTGGAGCCTAACGGCTCTTTGGTGGGGCTAATGGCGGACTCTGGGAGGGCTCAACCAAGGAGTACTTCCCAGAAGAACTTCTGCTGCCAGTGTCCTTGTCCCCACGGTGAGCCACCCCCCCCACCCCCGCCTCTGCAGGAGATCCTCCAACACAGGCAGGTAGGTCTGGTTCAGTCTCCTATGGGGTCACTGCTCCTTCCCCTGGGTCCCTATGCACACACTACTTTGTGGGTGCCCTCCAAGAGTGGAGTCTCTGTTTCCCCCAGTTCTGTAGAAGTCCTGCAGTCAAATCCCACTAGCCTTCAAAATCTCATTCTCTAGGAATTCCTTCTCCCGTTGCCAGACCCCCAGGTTGGGAAGCCTGACGTGGGGCTCAGAACCTTCACTCCAGTGGGTGGACTTCTGTGGTATAAGTGTTCTCCAGTTTGTGAGTCACCCGCCCAACCGTTATGGGATTTGATTTTATTGTGATTGTGCCCCTCCTACCATCTCATTTCGGCTTCTCCTTTGTCTTTGGATGTGGGGTATCTTTTTTGGTGAGTTCCAGTGTCTTCCTGTTGATGATTGTTCAGCAGTTAGTTGTGATTCCGGTGCTCTTGCCAGAGGGGGTGAGTGCACGTCCTTCTACCCTGCCGTCTTGAACCCCGCATCAGCTTTTGTGAATGCCTCTAGCCTCCGGGACTGCCCGTTTTTTGGAGGGACGGTAGGGGTAACTATTTGGAAACAATTTCAAATTTATAGAAGAGTTGCAAGAATAATACTAACAGCTCTCTTACATACCCTTCACCCAGATTCCCTAATTGATAACATTTTACCATATTTGCTTTAAGTTCTCTCTCTTTCCACACACACACCTATACCTAATGGTTATTGTTATTTATTTTTAAAATTTATTTATTTAATTTTATTTTTGGCTGTGTTGGATCTTTGTTGCTGTGCGTGGGCTTTGTCTAGTTGTGGCGAACGGGGGCTACTCTTTGTTGTGGTGCACGGGCTTCTTGTTGCAGAGCACGGGCTCTAGGTGTGTGGGCTTTAGTAGTTGCAGCATGCAGGCTCAGTAGTTGTGGCTCACGGGCTCTGGAGGGCTGGCTCAGTAGTTGTGGCACACGGGCTTAGTTGCTCCGCGGCATGTGGGATCTTCCCGGACCAGGGCTCGAACCCGTGTCCCCTGCATTGGCAGGTGGAATCTTAACCACTGTGCCACCAGGGAAGTCCCTGTTATTTTTTTTTTTATGAACCATTTGATTGTAAGTTACGGACATGGTAGCTTTTTCTCCCCAAATACTTGACTGTGTATTTCCTAGCCATGAGGACATTCTCTTATATCACAGTACTCTTATCACAATCAGGAAGCCAGCATTGATACAGTACTATTATTGAATCTACAGGCCTTATTGAGTTTGTACCAGTTGTCCCAAAAAGAATTTGAAGAAAAAAGTTTCTTTCTGGTCTAGGATCCATTCCAAGATCACACTTTGCATTTAGATGTCATGTCTCTTTAGTCTCCTGCAATCTGGAATGGTTTTTCTGTCTTCCTTTGTCCTTCATGGTCTTAACATTTTTGAAGTGTAGAGGAGATTTACTTTGTAGAACGCCCTAAAATTTGGGTTTCTCTGATACATCCTCACCATCAAATTCAGGTCGTACAGTTTGGGCATGAACCCTGGTGCCATCTCAGGACTGTGCTGGAGGGAGGCTAAGAGTGAGTGGGGGCAGGGGCTGGAGGCCAGGGTAGCAGCTACAGCCAGGCCACAGGTGGAGCAGAGACAGCTGTCTGCAGGGCGGACCCGGTGCCCTGGTTCTCTCTCTGTCCTGCTTTGCGGAATCCTCTCAGTTGCTGGCACTTGCTCTTCGCCTCTGGGCCCAGCTCTCCTGTGGACTTGGCCTCCCTTCCCTAAGAGCTTGCTGCCGACCCAGTGCCCCAGGCCTCACTCGGGGGCCGCAGCAGGCCTAGGCCCAGTTCTCACCCTTTGCCTCTGCAGCTCAGCTGTCCTCTCCTGAGGAGGAGGAGGATCAAGATGACATCAAGGTGTCTTCCTTCGTCCCCGACCTGAAGGAACTGCTCCCCAGTGTGAAAGTCTGGTCGGACTGGATGCTCGGCTATCCAGACACCTGGAATCCTCCGCCCACATCCCTGGATCTGCCCTCACAGTGAGTCAGCCTTGCCCACCCGTGTGCCCACAGCCCCCATCCCGCAGCCCGCTTGTGTCTGTCTTCCCTCTTCATTTGAACTTGGGGTTTCCCCTTCCCTGACGCCCTCCTCGTCCTCTGACGTATTGGGTTGTTTCTGCCTGTTCTCCAGCCTGTTGCTCCTCCTCTCAGTCTCTCTTTCTCTCACACCATAGCTTGCTCTGTTTCGTTCCTTCCCCTCGATCTTGCTAATTTTTACTGCGAACCGTTCATACTCACCGTCTCGGCAGCTGCCTGCTGAGTCTGGGTGGGTGTCAGTCAGTGTGTGTGAGAGACTTTGTTTCTTTCTCTCCCTTTCAGTCTATCTCTGTGCATCTCTCAGGCTCTTGCTGCTTCTCGTGCTGTCCTGCGCACTCTGTCTCCTTGCCTTCCTCTCACGACGTTGTAGTATGTGGGGAATGGTGAGGGCATGCACCCCTCTCTCCCACTCACTTCGTCCCTGTCCCCACAGCACATCCCGCCCCCTCTCCCTGTCTCTTTGTGTTGATGTGGGATGTGTTGGTCTGGGGAGTATGTGTGTCTGCTGGGTGTTTCTCTGTAGATCTTTTTGTTTGTCCATATGACATGTGGTAAAATATATATATGTGGCAAAGTTTGCCATCTTAACCATTTTTAAGCATACAGTCAGTGGCATGGTACATTCACGTTGCTGTGCAGCCAGGTAGGGCTATTTCTTGTGTTTGTAGCGATGTGTGAGTTGTAGATCTGCGTGTGCCTGTTTGGGTCTGGTTGTCTATGTGTGTCTGGTTGTTTGTGTCTGAGTGTGAGTGTGAGTGTGAGAGTGTGTGTGTGTGTGTGTGTGTGTGTGTGTGTCCGTCCCCGGCGATTTGTCTATTGAAGGCTCTTTTTTTTTTTTTTTTGCGGTACGCGGGCCTCTCACTGCTGTGGCCTCTCCCGTTGCGGAGCACAGGCTCCAGACGCGCAGGCTCAGCGGCCATGGCTCACGGGCCCAGCCGCTCCGCGGCATGTGGGATCTTCCCAGACCGGGGCACGAACCCGTGTCCCCCTGCATCGGCAGGCGGACTCTCAACCACTGCGCCACCAGGGAAGCCCTATCGAAGGCTCTTTTGATGTGCCTTTCCATGTCTGTCTATGTATGTGGGTCCATGTGCTGTGTCCATATCTGTGTCTGCGTCTCTGTCTATCCTGGTGTGTGGATCTCTTTACAGGGTTCCTGTGTCCCCGTGAGGAATCTCTTTCACTGTGTGTCTGTCTCCATGTCTGTGTGTTCATATATATGTCTATGTCTGATTCTTGGGCCATGTCAGTCCATGTCTGCTTCGGTCCTGTCCATGTCTCTCTGCGTGTGGCTGTGTCCTGTGGGAGTGTTTGTATATGTTCCTGAATGTCTGTGCCCAGGACTGCCTGTGTCCGTGTCCATATTTGTCTGTGAGTATGTCTCTGTGTGTCAGTCTAGGTCTCTCTGTTGGGGCAGGGGATTTCTGTATATGTGGATACAGGGGCTGCCTCGCCTGTGTCTCCCTGCCTGCCTCTGCCTGTCCCTCCTGCCTGTCTCAGCTTGTCTTGGCTTGTCCCTGCCTGCCTCTTTGCTTGACTCTGTTTGTCTCTCTCTGCTGTCTGTGTATCTGTTTCAGGGGTCAGCAAGCTATGGCCCATGAGCTCAGAATGGTTTACATTTTTAAATGGTTGAAAAAATAAAATAAAAAGAGTAAGACTTCATGACTTGTGAAAAGTGTATGGAAGTCCCGTTTCAGTGTCCGTGAAGTTGTGCTGGAACCCAGCCGTGCTTGTTTGCTTACACTTGTCTATGGCTGCTTTCACACTGCAGCCGTGGAGGTGAGTAGTTGTGACAGAGACCGTATGGTCTGCAGAGCCAGAACTATTTACTCTCTATCCCATTATAGAAAATGTTTGCCAGCTCCTCATCTATATCCATGTTCCTATGTGTCTTGTTCTTCTGTACGTTAGGGTCACTGTGTGTGTGTTTGTGTTTGCGTAAGAGTGTCCCAATGTGTGTGCACATAGGTGCCTGTTTCTGGTCAACTCTGTTGACCGTCCATCTCTCTCCCTCCCTCTCTCTTACTCTTTCTCTCTTCCTATCTGTCTCTCCCTTGGTGTCTGTCTCTCTTTCTCTCTGTTTAGCTTTTCCTTCTCCCTTTCTCCCCTCCCTCCATTCCTCCCTCCCCCATCTGCTGTATTGTCTCTGGCAGGTGTAGTGCACTCAGGGTTCCTTCAGGCTCTGTGTTGGGTGTATATATGTGTGTTTGGGAACAAGCATCCACACCCAGCATCTCATCATTCTTCTCCAGTGCTCTTCCCTGGGAGGGGGAAAATAGTGGACGTTGGAGGATGGATACCTAGGATGGTGCCAGTGGCATTTCTAGGGAGTGGGGAGGGGTGCTTCTCTGGGCTGGGGACCAGCCATGTGAGTCTTCCAGACTCATGGGTGACCCACAGAGGGAAGACTGCAGCAGAGATTTCTGGCCAGCAGTTAGACCCTTCTGTGTGGACTATATAGTCTGACTCTTTCCTGCATTTCCTTCGTCCCATTTCTTCCTTGCTCCTCACCCCAGGAAGCACCCCTTGACCATTAAGCCTGCCCTCCCCAGGCAGCTCTAGCTCTGTACCCATGTGAGTGATGCTCACAGCATCAAACAAATCTTTGCAGCTTTCCTGTGAACGCTTCTAGGTTTCAAAATGCACTCCAGGCTGAGGCCGCGTGAGCCAGGGTTGAGCTTGAGCTGGGGAGCTGTGGACACACAAAGGAACAGACCAATCTGCTGGCTAGGGGGCAGCTGTTTGCCAGCAGTGTTCACTGAAGAGTTAACATGTACAGCCTCAAAGTTTTCAGACCCTTAATCTAAGATGCCGACTAGGCAATTTGCAGTTTTGGAAAGAAACTGACAAGGAAGGGCTCTGCTCTCCAAGTATCTGAAGCCACTGCTTCTGAGCATGTGCAGGGGTCACGGAGTGTTCCTCCCTTCCTCTCGGGGGGTGGGGAGGCAGACCATCTGTCCCTGGAGCTTGGGCCTTCTGGGTCACCCCACCTCACAACCTTAGATATGGTCCGCCCAGCCCCTGTTTGCCCATATCCTGGCCATCAGGCCTGCTAACTCTCTTCTGCGACCTGTCTCCCTTTATCCCTCCTCCCTCTCCTGCTCCCTTTGGCTTTTGTTTGGCTGAGGAAATGGAAACCTCACACAGGAAGTGCTGGGCTTCATTTGCTTGAGGTGCTGAATCTGTTTTCTCTGTGGATGCTGGAGCAAATGGCCCATTGCCGGCTCATGCGAGCTGCTGCCCATCTTTGGGCAAGGGCTCAATCTGCAGCTGGGCACGTGGTCCAAGTTACATCCATCCCCAGCTGGGCTTCACCTCCAAGGCTACAGAAAGGCAGAGGGGGTTGGGACACTCGAATCAAATTTGCTTAGTCTTTTCAGACTTTTCTGCACAAGGATAGCAAATCTGACCAAATGATATGTTGAATCTGATTGCTTAGTAAACAAGTTCCTGTAGCTGTAACTTACTTTTTGATGAGTCCAGTTTAGGCTAGAGAAGTCAGTGTGGTAGAAAATGGAGTCCCCTCCTGCACTGCCTCCCTTTGCAATCAGGATCAGCGGCTGGTTGTCTCTGGAATGCAAGTTTAAGTATAAAGGGGGGGCTCTGCCATCCTGGGGCCTGACCACAAGGCATGGTGGTTTGAGGGCTGGTGCCACTGTTGGACAGAACAAACCTGGTCTGACCACCACTGAGGGTCATCCCACCTCATAGCCTTCAGATCCAAGCAGTGGAAAGTGGAATAAGAATTTACCTCCCTTCTTTCTAGTTTCTCACGTAACTGCCTAACACTCACCGAGTGAATGCTGTGGTTGAGAGATTGGCAAGGTACGGTAGGTGGTTCTTCTGTAGGTTTCAAAGTGACATCGTATACCCACTGATCTTCCATACTGTGGAGCCTTTTCTTTTAAGGCCGTAGGGAATAACATACTCCAGACAGTTCTGTAGATGTCAGAACAGTCATCCCTCTGACACTCTTAAGGTCCTTGTGCTGCTCTTCATTTTGGAGGGTTTAGGAATGCTCTCAAGAGAGTAGGAAGGAAATGGCTTCCACTTAACGCCTCTCCTTTGCATGTTTTCATTGGTCTTCGCCTGCATTTGTTCTCTGCAAAGACAGATTCCTGACTGATCCTACGATAAGGTGACCAGATAGCCTACATTGTAGCTTGCTTCTCCTCCAGAAATTCCCTACTCCCAAATTGTCTCCTTGACACATTTGGACCCTTGTTTAATCTTGCTCCCTTCATTCTCTTTCTGTCTTTCATTGTGTTACCATCTCTCCTTGCACAGTTAGTCATTTCGAAGCACCTCCACTTTTTCAGGGGCATTCTAAAGCGCATCAGTAGTCTCCTTGGTTCTCTCCCCTTTGCCCGTATTCCTCTTCTTTCTGGTCAAGTTTACTTTTCCTAGGCAGTAGCCACTTAGGCACATATGGACCACTTAGAATGATGATGACAGAACTTCACTGACACTGCAGAGTGACAAGGGCAGGATTTCAGGGCTGTTTGTGCCTTCCCACAGCAGTGGCACTTAGTAGGTGTGTGTGCTGGAGTCAGCACGGAAGTGCGTTGACTTCCCATTTGTATCTGTCAGGAGTCGTAATAGGATGGCTTTATATCCCAGGAGATTTTGGTGCAGAGGATTGTAGCAGGGTGTGGAAAGGTGCCTCGAGCCACTGTAAAAGGCAGTGTAGAGTGCTTTGGTCTGGTTAGAACAGACCACAGTGTTTGGAGGGGCCGTGTACTTATGGGGGTGGGGGTGGAGTGGGGAGCACAGTTTCTGTGCCAGGCCTCTTGTTAGAGGGGAGGGGCAGCTACTCCCCGCTTTACCAAGTGAGCATGAGGCAAGCTGTGAATGTCAGGTGGTGGAGAGGAGCAGAGCAACAGGCTTCCACGAGCCTAAGCATAGCCCCCTTGCACCCCAGGACCTTTGGCAAGGCTGGGGCA